ACACGACTGTAATGCCACCATCGGACACCAGAGCGCGTGTGGACACCAGAGTGCGTGTGGACACCAGAGTGCGTGTGGACACCAGAGTGCGTGTGGACACCCGAGTGGTGTGGACACCAGAGTGCGTGTGGACACCAGAGTGCGTGTGGACACCAGAGTGCGTGTGGACACAGATTCGTGTGGACACCAGAGTGCGTGTGGACACCAGAGTGCGTGTGGACTCCAGAGTGCGTGTGGACACCAGAGTGCGTGTGGACACCAGAGTGCGTGTGGACACCAGAGTGCGTGTGGACACAAGAGTGCGTGTGGACACCAGAGTGCGTGTGGACACCAGAGCCATCCATTGTATCTACGTGACCAAGAGGTCTGAGACCACTATACCCCCTTCCTCTGCAGTGAAGGGGGGGAGGGTAACAGTGGCTCTTATCCACTATATGGGAGTGCCATAGTGCCATGTATCACACCTGCCTGGCTGTTGACAACGAGACCCAGTGTGTTTACAAAGTGCCAGAGTATTATTACGATTAAAATTTTGACTTAAATACCAACGCTCTTTTTGCCGAATAAGACAAGCCAAAATTTGTGTATGCAATAATTTCTCAAAAATCATTCTGAACATAACCAAAAAAAATGTATTTTATTGTGTTTGTTTATAAATAAATTATTGTAAACTTATCTAAAATATATTTAGTTGGATTTGGCTAAATTAAATCTCGCTTGTTATAATAAGGTCAGGTAAGTTTTCTAAGGTTATTTTGGTACAAAATTATTAATTTTTACAAACACACACACACACAAAAAAAAATATTAAGCGTATATGAGAAAATTTCAGAAAGGACTTAATTTTAAATGAGTTCTTGCTAATAGACCAGTTTTACCTGTTCGACACGACATATTTTATATATATATATATATATATATATATATATATATATAACACACATCACACAACACACACACACACACAACACACACACACACCACACACACACACACACACACACACACAACACAACATAACACAACACACACACACACACACGACTAACACACCACTCACTATTTCCTCGCAAAAAACTATCAGATACGCAAAAATGCCAGTTTTAAGAAGCGCTCGGAAATATTAATAAAATAGAAACAAGAACAGTTTTGTCGTTAGTAAGTTGGCAGCACTACCTGCGACTCATTTGCACTTGAGACATACAAAAACGTTTCATCCTAACCTCATTAAGGAGTTTTGTTAGGGAAGAAGAAGGAAAGAAGGAGGGAGGAAGAAGGGAAAATCGAAGAGAAAAGAGAAAGGAGTTAGGAAGGAGGAAATGAGAGAACAGGGAAGAAGGAGGGTAGAAGGTAGGGAGGGCAGGAATGGACTAGGAAACGGGAAAGTGAATTTTAAAGGGGTTGTAGGAAGGAGGGAGGGAAGGGAGGGAGGAGGAAGGGGGAGGAGGAAGGAGGGAGGGAGAGGGAGGAGGAGGGAAGAGGAAGGGAGGGAGGGAGTGAGGGAGTAGGAGCGAGAGGGAGGAGAGAGAGGAAGAGGAGGAGAGAGAGAAGAGAGAGAGAGAGAGAGAGAGAGAGAAGAGAGAGAGAGAGAGAGAGAGAGAGAGAGAGAGAGAGAGAGAGAGAGAGAGAGAGAGAGAGGAGAGAGAGAGAGAGAGAGAAGAGAGAGAGAGAGAGAGAGAGAGAGAGAGAGAGAGAGAGAGAGGAGAGAGGAGGAGAGAGAGAAGGAGAGAGAGAGAGGAGGAGAGAGAGAGAGGGGGAGAAGGAAGAGAGAGGAGAGAAAGTTTGAGAAGAAGAGAGAAGAGAGGGGGGGAATGGAAGAATAATGGATGAAGAAAATACGTTGGAAGAAGACGAGAAATTAGGAGGGAATGAAAAGGATGACAGAAAAAATGAGAAGAGAGAAATTGAAAGAATAAACAAAGGTAAAAGAATGAAAAGCAGAACAAAGAGAAGAAAGAGACCGAATACAGGAAAGACGAGAGACAGGAAGGACGAATTTTAGAAAGTAAAAAAGAAAGAGAGAGAGGAAGAAAGAAAATAATATATCTCAAAACTAACACAAAATTTAAACAAATTCTCGTCAAATTATACTCAACAGCCTCTGTGTTCCTTATTATATAATATATATATATATATATATATATATATAATATATATATATATTATATATATATATATATATATTATATATACATATATATATATATATTATATATATATCTATATATATCCATATACATAATATACATCTATATTACAGGAATATACTGATATATATAAAAATATATGTACAGTATAGTTATTTTGTATAAAATGTCATACTTACATGTTCTATACACCTATGTATACAGCACTAATCTGTATAACAGCATACATGCTGATATAAGCACTACAGCATACAGTGCTGTATAACAGTATACAGTGTGTTTTTAACAGTATAGTCATTAGTGCTGTATGACAGCACTACAGTGCTGTATAACAGCACTACAGCACTACAGTGCTGTATAACAGCACTACAGTGCTGTATAACAGCACTACAGCACTACAGTGCTGTATAACAGCACTACAGTGCTGTATAACAGCACTACAGTATAGGGGTATACAGCATACATGCTGTATACAGCACTACGTGCTGCATAACAGCACTACAGCACTACAGTGCTGTATAACAGCACTACAGTGCTGTATAACAGCACTAGCACTACAGTGCTGTATGACAGCCACTACAGTTGCTGTATACAGCACTACAGCACTACAGTGCTGTATACAGCATACAGTGCTGATAACAGCATACAGCACTACAGTGCTGTATAACAGCACTACAGTGCTGTATAACAGCACTACAGTGCTGTATAACAGCACTACAGCACTACAGTGCTGTATAACAGCACTACAGCACTACAGTGCTGTATAACAGCACTACAGTGCTGTATAACAGCACTACATGAAACGACTACAGTACAGTGTGATAACAGCACTACAGCACTACAGGCTGTATAACAGAACAGCACTACAGTGCTGTATAACAGCACTACAGTGCTGTATAACAGCCACAGCACTACAGTGCTGTAATGACAGCACTACAGCACTACATGCTGTATAAAACACAGCACTACAGTGCTGTATAACAGCACTCAGCACTACAGTGCTGTATAAAGCACTACAGCACTACAGTGTTGTATAACAGCACTACAGCACTACAGTGCTGTATAACAGCACTACAGCACTACAGTGCTGTATAACAGCACTACAGCACTACAGTGCTGTATAACAGCACTACAGCACTACAGTGCTGTATAAACACACTACAGCACTACAGTGATGTATAACAGACTACAGCATACAGTGTGTATAACACGACTACAGTGCTGTATAAAAATACAGACTACGTGCTGTTAACAGCATACAGCATACGTGCTGTAATAACAGCACTACAGAACTTACAGTGCTGTAGTAACAACTACAGCACTACAGTGCTTATTAACATGCACTACAGCACTTACATTGTTAACAGCATATAGCACTAAGTGCTGTATAACAGATAGCACTAAGTGTTGTATAACAACTACAGATACATGCGTATAACAGCGCTACAGCACTACTGCTTAATAATACACACTACAGTGCGTATAACTACATACACACTAAATATGCTGTATAACAGCACTACTAGCAACTACAGTACTGTATAAACAAACTACAACACTACAATGCTGTATAACTACACTAACAGCACTAATGAACTGTAATAACAGCATTAAGCATAATAATGCTGTATAACAATACAAATACAGTGCTGTATAAACACACTACAGCACTACATGCTGATAACACACTACAGCAATACATCTGATAACACATACAGCAATAATGCTAATAACAGACTAAGCAATAATGCTGTATAACAATAATATACAGCAATTAAGTGCTGTATAACAATTACACAATACATGATGTTAGAAGAAAGAAGAGTAACTTCGTATTCTGGTTAATATCAAATCTCTTGAATGTAATTGAAGGTAAGTCTTACGCTGAGAGTTTACAACTCCATAATTATATTGTCGAAGATAATATATAATAACTTCTACAATAGTAGTATATTACATTATATAATACACTACTATAACTAACTACTATACACATAATACATACTATATACTACATATCTACTACATATAATATAATACATACTATATATAATACTACAATATATGCTACTACATACAAAAGCAAAAGTAGAATAATAATATAATAATATATAATAATAAAAATAATAAATAATAATATAAAATACAATAATAAATAATAATAATAATAATAATAATATAATAATAATAATAATAATAATAATAATATATAATAAAATAATAATAATAATAACAATAATAATAATAATAATAATAAATAATAATAATAAAATAATAATAATAATAATAATAATAATAATAATAATAATAATAACAAATAATAATAATAATAAATAATAATAATAATAATAATAATAATAATAATAATAATAATAATAATAATAATAATAATAATAATAATAATAATAAAAGCTTTTCCAAGAACGTATCTCTAAAATTTATCTCCAAAAACAATATTTTAGAAACGTTCATCTGGGTAGAGAAGCTTCGTGACTTCTGTTTAAGTCGCTCAAGTCTCCTCATGTATATTGGAGTCGCAGTCTCCGGCTTTTAAGAGCTTTGTAAACCTCTCTCACTCTCGTGGAAAAAATTCCTAATTAAACTGCAATTTATATTAGCAAATGAGAGAGCCGAAGAGAGAGAGAGAGAGAGAGAGAGAGAGAGAGAGAGAGAGAGAGAGAGAGAGAGAGAGAGAGAGAGAGAGAGAGAGAGAGAGAGAGAGAGAGGTAGAGATAGAGAGAGTTTAGAGAGAAGAGGCTTGATGCGGAGGATGAGCAGTAACACTCAGGAGGAAATCCGTTACAACAACCGAAGATGTCAGTCTGTTACAACAGTCAAAGGTGTCACACTCACCCAGAGCGAAGCCATCCTTGGTCCACTGTGCTTTGCCTTGCTGGTTGTCAACAGCACACTGCAGGAAAACATCCTCCCCCTCCTTCACACTACCACAGCTCTGTTTTGGCGTTACACGGAAACATCTCTGCTACTCACGTGCTGTGCCGTTGAGCGAATGGAGGAACGTCATGGTTAAGTGACGAACTCATTAGGACCGGAGCCGGGAAGAGAAGACCTGTAACCAGCAATATACTGATTAACAATACACCTGAGAAACAATACGGAACGTAGACTAGTACACTTACAGGTTCCCTATATAAATATAGTTTAGTCTATTAGCCAGGACAAATATGCACTCCTTATGAGTTTTGAGACTCTCTGACCGCGGGTTCAATCCCGCCCGTGGTATGGTTAGATTCCAAACTTAACATTAAAAAATGGACAGATTAAGAAGACAGTACCTTTAATCAGCTATCGTCGGCGCAAGAGACAATATGGACAGTACTAAGGTGCTTTCAGCTGGAACTGTATTTAAACAAGGGATCAAATTTAAATAATATACCAGTAGGTCGCCATCAGTTCTACGATACCCACAACATAAACGCCTGATATATGATTCCTTATTGTTCTGTTCTCACTGTGTGTGTGTGTGTGTGTGTGTGTGTGTGTGTGTGTGTGTGTGTGTGTGTGTAAGCAGCCTACGTGTCAGTAATAGTACAACTCCTTGTGTCTTTATTGATATCAATATTTATTTTCATCAACTAACATTTTCACATATCTTCATACTTCTTCTGCTTTTACTGATGCTTCCTGTGTTTACTCCATTTCCTGCTTCTCTTGTCCTGTCTGATACTGTGGAGAAACTGTCCTCTCTCTTTCTTACTGACTTCAAGAACACAAAAGAAGACACCAGCAATGCTCTACTGTCATGTCAGAGATCACAGTCATCCTGTTAACTGATCCTTAGCTAAGACTGTCTACCCTTCTTCTAGCCTTTACAGACTCTGTCATGTTGAGGCAGCTCTCCTATACAACTTTCCTAACAGGAACCTTAGTCCTGGCTTTGTAATCACTCGCATTTCCCATTACATTGTCAAATACTTGAAACTTCAGAACACTTGTGACTTGACCTGACCCATGCAGCCTCCTCCTCCCTCCTCTTGATCTGTCTTCTGCATTCTCTTTGCATTCCTTGTCTTTTGACTTTCCTCTTTCTTGTTTTCCTTGGGTCAGTTGGCCTACTGCAGCTCTTCTCTGCATAGATAGTGACAAATAATATTTTAAACTACACAACCACGATGGGTCATTTACTCTCATTACTCTATTATAGTTCTGCCTCTTTTTGACCTCTTTTATGTACTACTACTACTATTACTACTTCTCCTACCACTAAGGCTGCTACTACTACTATTATTACTACTATTACTACTACTATTACAACAATAATAAATGTTATATACCGCTTGGTTCTAATAGAGCACATTTTCACTGAGGGGAAGGACAAAAAATTGCGTATGAAGACCCTAGTGCGAGAGAGGGGAGTCTCTCCTCCCCTCTTCATTTCCCCTCAAGCAGGAAAGACTGGAGAAAGACCCCTTATGACACCAAAAGGCAAACGAGGAACATGATGTAATTTGTGCATAAAAGAGTGAGACAGGGAAGGAAGGAGGAGGAGAGAGAGAGAGAGAGAGAGAGAGAGAGAGAGAGAGAGAGAGAGAGAGAGAGAGAGAGAGAGAGAGAGAGAGAGAGAGAGAGAGAGAGAGAGAGGAGAGAGATGAGAGAGAGAGAGAGATAGAGAGAAGAGAGAGAGAGAGAGAAGAGAGAGAGAGAGAGAGAGAGAGAGAGAGAGAGAGAAGAGAGAGAGAGAGAGAGGAGAGAGAGAGAGAGAGAGAGAGAGAGAGAGAGAGAGAGAGAGAGAGAGAGAGAGAGAGGGAGAGAGAGAGAGAGATGAGAGAGAGGAGAGACGAGAGAGAGAGAGGAGGAGGATGAGAGAGAGAGAGAGAGAGAGAGAGAGATGAGGAGAGAGAGGAGAGAGAGAGGGGAGAGAGAGAAAGCAGAAAGCAGCAACTTCACTCTGGCTGTACCCTTCTCCAGAACATCACTCCATCTGAGATCATACATACCCAGGATGACTCGAGTATGGAACACATTCGTACAGCATAATGATGTCAACGAGATAAAGTCAGTTGATCACATGAAAATGCTGGCCCACAGATGGCCCACAGATGGCTCCAACTTCATCCTGTTCCCTACTTGTATGTCTCATAACAATAAAAATGCTTTCAAATGAGCTGATGTAGGTAACAGCTCTTAGCTTGCTAATAAAGTTAGGAATTCTTAACCTGTAAATAGCTTGTCAATAAAGCTAGGGATCCTTAACCTTGTCAAACCCTGTGTAAAAAAAAAAAAAAAAGAGAGAGAGAGGCAGAGACAGAGACAGAGAGACACAAACACACCGACACAGACACAGACAAAAACCAGTCCAAACACACACACACACACACACACACACACACACACACACACACACACACACACACACACACACACACACACACACACACACACACAGGTCGGGTAAGGGCAAAGAAGACCGCAGACAGAGTATAGGCTAGGTGGCCAAAGACTGCACACCTCTCTCAAGGAGAAAGATCTTGGGGTGAGTATAACACCGAGCATGTCTCCGGAAGCACACGTCAGCCAGATAACTGCTGCAGCATATGGGCGCCTGGCAAACCTGAGAATAGCGTTCCGATATCTCAGTAAGGAATCGTTCAAGACTCTGTACACCGTGTACGTCAGGCCTATATTGGAGAAGGCAGCACCAGTTTGGAACCCACACCTGGTAAAGCACATCAAGAAATTTGAGAAAGTGCAAAGGTTTGCGACAAATTTAGTTCCAGAGCTAAGGGGAATGTCCTACGAAGAAAGGTTAAGGGAAATCGGCCTAACGACACTGGAGGACAGGAGGGTTAGGGAGACATGATAACGACATACAAAATACTGCGTGGAATAGATAAGGTGGATAGAGACAGGATGTTCCAGAGATGGGACACAGAAACTAGGGGTCACAATTGGAAGTTGAAGACTCAGATAAGTCAAAGGGATGTTAGGAAGTATTTCTTCAGTTATAGAGTTGTCAGGAAGTGGAATAGTCTAGCAAGTGATGTAGTGGAGGCAGGAACCATACATAGCTTTAAAACGAGGTATGATAAAGCTCATGGAGCAGGAAGTGTGAGGACCTAGTAGCGATCAGTGAAGAGGCGGGGATCAGAAACTGAGTCTCGACCCCTGCAACCACAAATAGGTGAGTACAAATAGGTGAGCACAAATAGGTGAGTACACACACAATCACACACACACACACACACGCACACAGGCGCAGGGAGAGAAAGGACCTAGTAGCGACCAGTGAAGAGGAGGGGCCAGGATCTATGAATCGACGCCTGCAACCACAAATAGGTGGGTACAAACAGGTGAGTACACACACAGACACACACATGCACACAAGAGGTTCCTAAGTCAGCTAGATACCTCAAAGTCGATGGGGCCGGATAACATCTCTCCATGTGTACAGAGAGAGGGAGCAGAGGCGCTATGTGTACCCCTAACAACAATATTCAATACATCTATCAAAACAGGGCGACTTCCTGAGGCATGGAAGACAGTAAATGTAGTCCAAATTTTTAAAAAACTAGACAGACACGAAGCACTAAACTACAGACCAGTGTCACTAACATGTATAGTATGCAAAATCATGGAGAAAATTATCAGGCGAAGAGTGGTGGATCATCTAGAAAGGAATGAACTTATTAACGACAACCAGCACGGTTTCAGGAACGGGAAATCCTGTGTCACAAACCTACTTGAGTTCTATCACAGGGTGACAGCAGTAAAACATGAGAGAGAGGGTTGGATAGATTGCGTTTTCTTGGTGTGTAAGAAGGCTTTTAACACAGTTCCACAGGGGTCAGTCCTAGGACCGGTGCTGTTTCTGGTATATGTGAACGACATGATGGAAGGAATGGACTCATAAGTGTCTCTGTTTGCAGATGATGTGAAGTTGATGAAAAGAATTCAGTCGGACGAGGACCAGGCGGAACTACAAAGAGATCTGGACAGGCTGCAGGAAAGGTCCGGAAACTGGCTCGTAGAGTTCAACCCCACCGAGTGTAAAGTCGTGAAGAGTGGAGAAGGACAAAGACCGCATACGGAGTACAGTCTATGGGGCCAGAGACTACAAACCTCACTCAAGAAAAAGGACCTTGGAGTGAGTATAACACCAGGCACATCTCCTGAGGCGCACATTAACCAAATAACTGCTGCAGCATATGGGCGCATAGAAAACCTAAGAATAGCATTCCTACATCTCAATAAGGAATCGTTCAGGACCCTGTACACCGTGTATGTCAGGGGTATATTGGAGTATGCAGCACCAGTTTGAACCCACACCTAGCCAAACATGTAAGGAAACCAGCGAAAGTGATAAGGTTTGCAGCAAGACTAGTCTAGAAGCTAAGGGGAATGTCCTACGAGGGAGAGGTTAAGAGAAATAGACCTGACCACACTGGAGGACAGGAGAGATAGGGAGGGATATGATAACGACATATAAAATACTGAGAGGAATTGACAAAGTGGACAGAGACAAGATGTTCCAGTGCTGGGAAACAGCAACAAGGGGTCACAGTTGGAAGTTGAAGACTCAGATGAATCACAGGGATGTTAGAAAGTATTTCTTCAGTCACAGAGTTGTCAGGAAGTGGAATAGTTTGCGAAGTGATATAGCGGAGGCAGGATTCATACATAGCTTCAAGAAGAGGTATGATAAAGCTCATGGAGCAGGAAGAGTGACCTAGTAGCGACCAGTGAAGGGGCTGGGCCAGGAGCTATGACTCCCGCAACCACAACTAGGTGAGTACAATTAGGTGAGTACACAATACACATACATACCATGTGTGGAATAATGGCGGAGATTAAGCAATCTTGTATCCTCACGTGACACAATGATATTGTGTGATGCTTCCCACAACAACCTTAACTCTCATCTCTCTCTCCTTGACCCCAGGTACGACCCCAGTCTCCCCATGACCCCCAGATACGACCCCAACCAGGGCCAAAAACGGGCTTGAGATTTATGAAAGGAATGTATGAGGGAGAGAGAGGCAGACACGCTCACCCTGGCACTGTTGATGTTAGGGGCGAGGGAGAAGAAGTGGAGGAGAATGAGGAGAAGGAGGAGAAGGAGGAGAAGGAGGAGAAGGAGGAGAAGGAGGAGAGAGGAGAGGGGGAGAAGGAGGAGAAGGAGGAGAATGAGGAGAAGGAGGAGAAGGAGGAGAAGGAGGAGAAGGAGGAGAAGGAGAGGAACAAACAGCACCACCAGCAACAACAACAAACACTAGCAACAACAAACGCCAACACCAACACCAACAAACACCACCAACAACAACAATTAAAACAAGCATCAGGAATAAGCAACTACAGCAACAATGACAAACAACAACAACAACAACAGTCAAGAAGCTACAAACAACAACAGCAAACAATAACAACAAACAACAGCAACATCAACAAAAAATAAGCTTCTAACAACAAAAATAACAAACAAGAAGCTACAAACAACAACAACAACTAACAAGAACAATAAACAGAAGAACATCAAGAGAGAGAGAGAGAGAGAGAGAGAGAGGAGAGAGAGAGAGAGAGAGAGAGAGAGAGAGAGAGAGAGAGAGAGAGAGAGAGAGAGAGAGAGAGAGAGAGAGAGAGAAGAGAGGAGGAGAGAGAGAGAGAGAGAGAGAGAGAGAGAGGAGAGAGAGAGAGAGAGAGGAAGAAGAGAGAGAGAGAGAGAATGAGAGAGAGAGGGGAGGAGAGAGAGAGGAGTGATTAAGAGTGTCATTTACCATCCACACCAACAATACACTTCCTTCGTTAAGACCGTCACGAAAGCATCGATTTTCTACTGTCGTTATCACGAACACAACGCAAGTGTATACGACGCGAGGAACGAACAAGGC